CCCATTAGAAAAATATGCAGGGATTGCTTTTCTTCAGTTTTCTCTGTCGTATTGAGGAAACGCGACTGTATGGCAGCTGTCAGTCTATTTGTATTATATTATGTCTATGGTTTGCTACATGCATTTTCCCTTTTATCTTTTATGCGACAACGTTATCAGCGATATCTAAATTGCTCCAATCTTTTAAAATTATATGGTTCTATTGTTAAATGTATGCTCTAGATCTAACCATCAGCATAACTAGGAGCTGTTTTGTACCTTGGACCGTTATTGGATTTCATCGTAAATAGGTGCTATTTCTATCTTATTAAGCTGTTCTTTAATTTTTTGACTATTTGAATTGAGAATCTATATTTTATTCTACTGTTTATTAACACAGATTTTTTTGGCGCCCATTTCCATCTTAAGTTTTTCGTTTCCCGTTCATTATTACAACAATTTTTCGGGATACCGACGTATGAAACCCGTTGCTATGTATTTGCATGTTTCGATGTCCAACAGTAGAAAATTTGTCTCGTTGTAAAGTCAATATTATTGTATTAGGAAATATGATATTGTCTTATAATAATAAAGTTGTTTTGCTTCGCTTTCTCAGACTGCTACCGTCGTGCTCTCTGGTATTTGATATTTCGCCGGTCAAGCAACAATTTCTATATGCATTAACTTAATGCTGATATCCTGCTTCCCCAACCCAGGTAGCAGTTCCGAAACCAATAAAACTGCTACACTCATGCTTTCTATTAGCCAGCCCAGGATTATAGCTACGCATTGTATGCGTAGCATCGTACTGATGTTAGTGCTGCCCCTTATAATGAATGGAATATGAAAGGAAAGTTTTGGCAATTTAATAAGATCTTGTGTGTTAGAATATAACTTTTTCAAGAAAGTAAAGGGATATCAAACCGCTATTCGAATTTAATCAATAGCTAAAATATTAAAATGCTATAGAATAATGCTTTATTAGCATTAATAAGTTTATAATAGACACTTACTTAAGTTTGAAAATAATTAGAGCAAGTAATATAAATTATCACCGTGCTTATTATACATAAAAATAAAATAAAATTATTATAATGTTAACAATTTATATTATAACATATTTAAATACATTAGCCAAATATTCCTGAAATTCCTCGATAACTAATCTGGTGGATATTTAAATAAATTTTAAGTTCCCAAAATGTACCTGCTATAAAATTTGAAAATCTACGACTAATACAATTATTGACAACATCGCAGGGGCTTAGTTGTGTACGCTAAAAACTATATACGGATCCCAAAAATATTTTATCCAGTTACGGAGTCCACTTGATCCTACATGTTGGTCGGAGTTTACATAATGCGCTACTTAGATAATAATATACACGGTGTATATTCTACTGGAGTTAGTATAATACCGTTTTAGTACGGAGCCCACATTAACCGCTAGAAGTATATATATATATATATATATATCTATATATATATATTATATATATATATATATATATATATATTATATATATATATATATATATATATATCTATATATATATATATATTATATATATATATATATATTATATATATATATATATATATATATATATATATACAGATTGAACGAAATAAATTCGGAACATAGGAATATAATGTATTTCGGCTCAATTCTGCTGTATTTGGTTGGCCAACAAAAGATTGTCAAATAATTATATTATAAAAATCCAATACTTCAGCGGGCTGCTGGATTCTGAACTGAAATTGAAAGCTACACATAAATCTACGATTTTAATATGCTGTCAAACCAGTTATAGTCCAGGAAATGAAGCATTTCACCTCGCAATTTTTTCGTGCTGCGTGGGTTGACTTGAAATTTAACAGAAGGTAGGTAATAGCCTAAGGATCAAAATCTATATCGAACCAAAGTGCGCCAAAGCCTAGGGGTGGTTGCCACCCCATCTCCGGGGTGAAAATTTTTTTTACGTTTTAACTACAGGTTTCGATTAAAAAAGTGATTCTAGACAAAAAATGTGCTATACATTTTTTTTTATAAAATGATATTTTTCAAGTTATTCGCGATTGAAAGTAACAACTTTTAGACGAAAAAAATCCACGTTTTTAATCGATTTTTCGCGAATAACTCGAAAATGGTGCATTTTATCAAAAAAATTGTAGAGAACAAATTTGTAGCTTTTAAAAAGACAAATACAATTCATTTTTTAAAATGATTTTGCGATATAATAGGAACCGAAATACGGCCTATCAATGTTCAGCGGTTTTCTTCAAATGCCAAATTTGAAAGATTCAAAGTCAGATATCGGGAAAATGATGCATTTTTGGAAGAAAACTCACAAAACTTTTTTTAAAGAGCATAAACAGACCTATCATAAAAAAAGACTTTAGCTCAAAAATTGAGTGAGTTATGATGAAAATAAGGTCAATACCTCATTTTTTACGAAAAAATCGATGAAAACAACCCCCTAACCACCCCCATAATTAAAATCGATCTTCACCCTTCTGCAATTCCCTTTGTACATGTATTGTTAATACGTCCAAGAAGTTTGACTCATTTAAAATGCTTAGTTTTAGAAAAAGTACAGCTTAAAGCGAGAAACGATTTACAATTTCATATTTTTTACCCTTCTTTTTTTAAATATGCCCGAAAATACTGAATATATGAAAAAAATAAAAATTACCAAATTGTAGCTTTTTTAATGACTAAAATTATCCTTTATTTAGATTTGTTGTACAATGAATATTTGGCGAGATATAGCCGTTTAAAGCATCGATTTAAGATCAAGCACCATCTTTTTCGGGCCCTTTAAACTCACCCCATTTAAAAACCAAGGGTTCCAAAAAGATTTAATTCACAGATCCTTGTAGCTCTTAAAAACCTCTACAAATCGTTTTTGAAGAAACACTCTATCGTTAAAAATTAAAGGAAATACGTTAAAAAAACCAGTTAATTTTTTTCCGGAAAATTCCATTAGTATAGTACAGTACATTTCGGAGCATAATAATCTACAAAACCGGTATATTAGCTAGTGGGGCGTTATACATTCGAAATTGTAAGCGTTCTTATTTTGAAATCTCATACAACAGAATAAAAGATCTGCTCATGTGTCTATGGCTTGGCAATAAAAATATCAGAGCAACAGATTGGGGATGGTATTTCAAAGATTGGTTGTTATTACCCGTACGCATGAACAAACAACCTGCACCCGTTGAACTTTTGAAAATTACTTTTTGCCAATGCAAAAAAGGATGCGGCGTTTCATGTGGGTGCAGAAAAGTTGGTTTATACTGTAACTCTACTTGTTCTGGGTGCTCAGATGAAGGGTGCAATAACAGTCCACCAATAATTGAAGAAGATGAGGATGACATAGATCACGATGAAGATGTAATTGATGACGAATAAAATTAATATTATAATTGTTTTACCTATAAATGTAAATATTTCCAACTATTTATGTAAATGTATAAGAATATAATTATGGTGCCTTTTTATGTTGATAATTTTTTTTGTATTTAATTCTACTTAAAAACTTATACTTAAAACTACTTATAAAATTAGTTTATAAAAACTGCAATGTTGTAAATGGTGATTTTCAAAAGTTGAAAAGTTGCAAAATTTTGGCAAAAAATTGTTTTCACCTATAGCACTCATAACAATTGATTTTTAAGGGTTGAAAATGTATGAAATTGTATTTTAAATTTTAAAAAATCACTATTTAACTAATCCAAACCAAATTTCACTCATCTTAACATTTGTAATATTATTTTACAATTTTTGAAAATTAGGGGTAGTTTTCAGCCCTAAGAACAATCAGGGTTTATCGGCATGACATAAACTATAAAGCAGAGGGTGAGTTGAGCTTAATTCCAAATTTTTATGCAAATCGTTCCAAGGTGAAATCATTTTCTTCGCATTACTAATTTTTCTATATTAATCTCTAATAAGGGTCGCTTATTAAGGGTTGATATATGATGGAACTTTATTCAAAAGCACGAAACTATCATTATTTAATTAATTCAAACCAAATTTTACCCATATTCAGGTTTAATATGTTATTTTATAATTTTTGACAATTAGGGGTAGTTTTCACCCCTAAGAACAATCAGGGTTCGTCGACATGACATAAACTATAAAGCAGCGGGTGAATTGAGCTTAAATCCAAATTTTTATCCAAATCGATCCAAGACGAAATCATTTTTTTAGAATTAGTAATTTTTTTACATTAATCTCTAACAAGGGTTGCTTTTTAAGGGTTGAAATATGATGGAACTCTATTCAAAAGTATAAAATAATCATTATTTAACTAATTCAAACCAAATCTTACCCATATTCAGGTTTAATATGTTATTTTATAATTTTTGACAATTAGGGGTAGTTTTCACCCCTAAAACCCTTCAGCGCACTTCGGTTCGATATAGATTTTGATCCTTGGGCTATCACCTACCTTCTGTTAAAATCTCAACTGGATAAATGCAGGACGAAAAAATTGCGAAGTTTTAACTTTTTTCGACTTTCATTTCCTGAACTATTACCGCTTGCTTAGACAAACCCGTCTTACGCAAACAACATTGTTACGAGACAGATAGTTGAACGATATTTTATACAATGTCTATACCCAGGTATGGATTTATTTTTGTCCAAGTTTTATATTGGTCCACTATTTCAAATGCAGTTCAAACAGACATGTATTAAGTTGTATGTTCCGTTTTAATTTGGTTCAATCTGTATATATATATATATATATATATATATATATATATATATATATATATATATATAATTTGCTTATTCTGTCTGACTGTCAGGCATAATATCATCCCTCGGTTATTATTATTTTTATTATTGGTTTGATTGAAGCGTGTGATGCGTTACCTTAAAGAGAAAGGGAAATCGATTGTGATTTTGAACGAAAAAAGCTTATTTTTTACCAACTTGATTGGCCTGAAAAATTAAGTTTATTGGATAGTGTAATTCCCATTAAAAAAATCAATTGATTCATACTTACTAAATGCTAAATATCCAAACTCATCTTTGGTTTGTCCGGTTAGAAATGGAACTTGCTTAAATTGACCATTGGTTATAAGATGTATTGGATGGGCTGGTAAAAATCTTTGTTGACCATAATCTGCTTCAATGACTGGAGACCAAATCATAATCGGATCAGTGCCAAATTCCTAAAACAACTAATTATAGGATATTGGGAACATAATAGATGTATTTATTTAATTTATATTTAATTCATTTTTTGATAACAATGATTTGTCATATTTTTTGTATATTTATAAAATTACAAAATAAAAAAATGTATTGTGTATCATGTTAATAATACTAATTATTATTACTAATACTTTAATTAATTAAGAATGCTATCAGACAGGTTTGTCAAATATTATTTTATTGTGGCGTTTTTTTGTTATCTACCGTTAGTAATAGGAATTAATTACAATTTTAATTGAAAATCCGTCATATTTGACGTTGAGATTTTCACTTCAGAAATTGCTTTTACACTACAAAAGAAATAAATTGTGAAACATGTATTTGTATTGTGAAATTAGCATATCGCTTGAAGAAGACACCCTCTATAAAGATTACATATAAAGCAATAATGGTGAAAGGTTTTAAGGTTTTAAAGAAAGTATATAATTCTTTTGTAATCTTTTCTTTTGGGTTTGTAATGAGTCCGTTAGTTTAATAAGCCTTTCATCACTTTTAAATAAAATCTTGAAATAAATATTTATTAGATATCTCTTAGTCATTTTTAATTTCTAAGTTAGTATTAAGCAGCGACTTTGATCGGCTAGAAGTAAAGTTTAAAAAGTAGACGGCCAGGATTCTAGAATATGTTTTAAGAATATTAAATTTTGTTTTTTTTTTAAGAAAAGTTGGAGAACATTTTTGGTTTGTTTTAGTTGTGTGTACCGTTTGGCTTATAGGCACTCTGAGCCGGTAAGTGGATCTAATTATCAATAAAAAGGGGAAAATGTATAAAAACCATCAGCCCATTTTAATTTATAAAATATTGTCATTTCTTTTATGATAGTTGATATATGTATATCTGTCTTTTTCACATTATTTCATTAAGAAATATTTAAAATCTAAAATCCATTAATAATATAAAATCATATGTCAATTTTCTATTTTATTTCCCAGCCTTAAAAACATATAACTATCTATCTTTAAAACTATCTATCTATTAAGATTACCTATAAAAATAATCTGTCTCATACCGTTCTTTTATATTCTAAAATATATCCAGAACCTGTTTTTCGTTAAAAGTATCTATTTAAATTAATCCCTATTCACATAAAAAATTGTCAAACCATTAAAAGGTCACATTTTTACAAACCCATTAAGGTGTTTTTGCCTTCATACAAGGTTCCTTAGTAACTTTTTGTCGTATCTTTTTAAGAATAATAAACCTTGTGTTCAAGATTACTAAGCCCTATTTTTTTTTCAAGAAAAAGAAGAAACCCTAACACAAATAATCTTTTTAGACTACTAAACGAGTTAAAATCAGGAGTCAAGGATTCGTTATTTATGTTTTTTTTTGGGATTTAGTTTAAGAAAAAGGATTAAGTTATTCCCTATTGGATGTACACCTGATTCCCAGAGATCTCTTCCTTCTTAGCTGTTTCTTCGGAGGTCCAGATCTCTACCCAATTATTCCTAGAGAACCTCAGGAAACCAGTCGGAAGGACCTCCCTCATTGAGCAGAGTGTGGAACATTGTCAATTTTTACCATAAAGTTTTGTTATCCATCAATTTTAATAATTTTCTATAATAATTGGTTGAGGTTCTAAATCCTCCCTATTAACTCGATTGTACGGTTTTATGTGTATACATTTATCAGAGAGTTATTATTGGTATTTTTATTAATAAATATTTAAACGTTTGGCACATATTCCGTTAGGATAAAGTGTCCATATAACTTTATTAGTACTTTTAATTAAAAGCCGCAGAACAGAATTACATTTCTAGTATGCGAGTAAATGACCTTTTTAGGTAGAATTAGTAAATTTTTTACTTATATTTATTATTTGTAAATTTCTTAAATAGTATTAGGTCCTACCTTCCAGTAAATTTAAATTCAGAGATAATGAGAGAATTGTGTATAATCAGAGAATTTTTTTAGTATATAAGTAACTAGGTTCCACAATTTGAGAGAGTGATTTCATAGTTTAAAAGCGGAATATCCTCAAATTTAAATGTACACAGCGGCCCTCGAAAACTATACGTTTTTAGAAATTACAGAATATATAAGTAGTATATATTATTTGTGCTTCTGTATAGAAGAGTTGACCAGAAGTTGTCGTACAGTGTACCCAATTCGTGTTCACAAGTAGTAATTATGGTCATACAAAACCAGTATTCTTCCACGCAGCGATTATATACCAAAAAACATGATTTTTTCAATAGTAAAAATTAATCACAAAATTGTAATAAAATAAATTTTATTTATATGTTCCGTTTTGTTACATATTTAAATTTATAAAATAAAGATCGATATTTTAAAACATTACTTTTCAATCTCTTATCAACCTTGAGATAAGCAACGGAGTTTCGACTCACAGACAGAGCTGTAAAACTTGTTTGACGGTAGACTCCGACAAAGTTTAGTTTGGGAATATGATTCATAAATCGACGATGCGCAGTGGTTCTTGTTTACTAGTGTTACCATAGAAACGGCCAGTTTGCTGTTTACCAGTGTCGTAGGTATCGCAGAGAGTGTTTGATTGTTGATTTGATCGTGTTTAATATTTTATTATTTTATTTGATATTAGTACTTAGTATAATATTGGTAGTAGTAATAAGTGAATTATTAAGTCATTTAGTGTAATTATAGTAAGTGTGTTAGGTTTAGTTAATAATAGTTGTTTAACAATATGGCTTCTAAAAAGATAGGAACAAAAGGGCTGGGATGAAATAGCCAAGCAAAGGCAATAATTTATAATGTTACTACATTTATGGAACAAGAGGCGGCATATTTCAAAGCAACCGAAAATCTGTTAATACCTTTAAGGAAATTGACGTAAGTATTGTCAATGATATTTTATTTTCTTATATGTTTATGTGTATGTGTGTGTGTGTGTGTGTGTGTGTGTGTGTGTGTGTGTGTGTGTGTGTGTGTGTGTGTGTGTGTGTGTGTGTGTGTGTGTGTGTGTGTGTGTGTGTGTGCGTGTGGCATTCTGTATTTTTAGGGGAATGTAGGGAATTACCCACACAAAATATGAATTCATATGTTTATTTACTGACGTTTCGATCTCTATATCCAGAGACCGTTTTCAATTATACAAATGATAGTAATATTTATTTTCTATGGCTTTTTGCTTGTCGTTCTGTATTTTTAGAAATAATGTTGGGAATAAGCCACAATATATTTATTCAAATGTTTAATTTACGGACGTTTGGATTTCTATAAAGAGACCGTTTTTAAACATACAAATGACATATTTGTTTTCTTATACTATATATTGTGTTTGTGGCATTCTGTATTTTTAGGGATAAGGTTGGAAATAAACCACAATATATATATTTACTTGTTTAATACACTGACGTTTCGATCTCTATTCCAGAGACCGTTTTTAAAGATAGAATAAAAAAAGAAAATAAATAATATAAGATTATAAAAATATATAATAATAAACAAATAAAAAAAATATAACTATCATTTATATTTTTGAAAGCGGACTTTGGATATAGAAATCGAAACGTCAATAAAAACTTGTAAATAAATATATTGTGGCCTATTTCGAACAATAATATTTGAAAAATATAATATAATTAACGTTAAAAAAAAGTGAGTGTACGCCACTGGATTTTCATACGTCTTTCCCCACTTCACCGCCTTTAAACAATGAATCACTCTTCTAAATAGTGGAATTTGACCATATATAAATGGTGGTAGGTCGCATGTTTAGGTATAAAATGTGTTGCCAAGACTAAATATTTCACTTAATACCTGTTTTTTTTTTCATTTCGGCAGCAAGGGTATAACGGCTAGATGCTTTGAAAGGTATATGTTAATACTTTCCTGGCGCCCACTCACATCTTAGAGTAACTTCCATATTCTATCACTTACATTCACATCTATTCATATTTTTCTTCTGATTACCTTGTTATCTATTCTCTTTCTACGGTCTCCGCAGAGCATGCAAATTGGCCGAATCCTCTTTTGAGTGTCAAGTAGTCACTCTCTGGCAAAGTTCGCTAGCCAGCCTTAATTCATTTGTTTTTTATCATTGGCGCTCTATTGTAATTTAAATTGGCCCATAATACTCTTTGTTACATTACTACACATCTATATGTCACACAATGACGCATAATTCCGGTCACATAATGGCGCCATTTAGGAAAGAAATATTTCAATCATATTTTGTTCTTGAAGCGATACGTTTAATTAATAATGCTGCATTAATTATATATTAATATAATTAATAATTAATTTTAATAATATTTTTAAAGGCAGAATTTATTGTAAAATACTTAGGTTTTTTGAAATCATAGGTTCGAATAAAAATACTAACAATGCTAATTACAATATATATATATATATATATATATATATATATATATATATATATATATATATATATATGTAAATATATATATATATATATATATATATATATATATATATATATATATATATATATATATATACAATTTATTATTTTTTCGCAAAATTGACAAACATCTTGGTTTCTCTAATTTAAAGTTAAGATTTATTTTGCTAAATAATTTAAAGCATTAATTATGTTATATTTATATTTATAAGGTACAGCTGGTTCCTAAAAATCTGATACGACTCTTAAAGATTTGATCATTTTGAGCAGTGTATTTAATTGGTCTAACATATTACATTTATTATGACAAACAAATAGTAAAAAAACAAATAACAAACAATTGATGACATACACTAATTCATAAATTGTAATAATTATTCAGATATAATTTTTAATATTTTTTTTACATTATATTATATTTATTATAACAGACAAATATTAAAATAAACAAACAAACAACAAACAATCGATTACATAATATTAATTCATACCCTAGTAACACATGACGTTTTATGGACGTCCAATATACGTCCAGTTTTGGTCCGGACGTCCCTGGACGTAAAATGGACGTACTATGGACGTACGAAGTGGGACGTACTTTGGGTGGATTA